TATCCCTCATTTTTTAATTTAAGCTAATTGAGGGTAGAGGCAGTGTCCTGCTCTTATTCAGGGCAGTACAGAGCACATCACATCACTGCTATTCAGAAATTATTGGTGGCTTAAGAAAAATTTAAATGTCTCCTGGAACATCTCTCAAACGACTCCAAAATACCTAGAGATTGTGACAAAATATAGGGTGTTCCCCCCAAAAATGTATACACACGCTTTGAATAATATGAAGGCAGTGTTTATTAAAATACACTTCATTTTCGCCTTATCCGGTTTGGCTCAGTGGATAGAGCATCGGCCTGCAGGGTCCCGGGTTCGATTCTAGTCAAGGGAACGTACCTCAGTTGCAGGCTCCTCCCCGACCTGGCCCCTGATCAGGGCTCGTGCAAGAGGCAACCAATCGATGTATTTCTCTCACATTGATATTTCTCTCTGTCTTTCCCTCTCTTCCACTCTTAAAATGAATGGAAAAATATCCTTGGGTGAGGATTAAAAATAAATACATAAACAAACAAATAAAATACATTTCATTTTAAAAATTGAGCTATCAGCTGTTAAAGTGTGTATACATTTTTGGGGGACACCCTGTAGCAGATTTCCCAACAGCCACTAGTTATAAACTATGTCTATAATTATATTTACTCCGCTGGAGAAATTTCTTTGTGGTTTTTCATTCCTTTTTAACATGCTTAGACCATGAGAGCAACAAGTCTAACTTATTTTCCATTTTTCTACTCATTTACAGATCTCAGAAAATTTTCACTGTGACCTGAACTCTGACCAGTTCAAAGGATTTCTCCGTGCCCACACGCCCTCTGTTGCCCCATCGAGTCAGGCGAGGTCTGCGGTGTTCTCCGTCACCTACCCATCCTCAGACATCTACCTAGTAGTCAAGGTAGTTAAACACAATCTGATTTGCTCATTCTCATGTTCCCAGTTTTGCATTAGACTCAGTGCATGTGTCAGGTAAGAGAGGTGTCAGAACGTATCTCTGTCTTCTGTGAGATTCACTTTGTTTCCTTCTCAACTGATCCCTTTTCCTCGATAAGCAAATTCTGTGTTGAATACTAGAACAACTATGGGTTTGAGAGTCATACCGTCCTCGTTTTGAATCCTGGCTTTGCATCCTAGTTATTACATGACTTTTGGGGCAATTGCCTAACCTTTCTGAGACTTCATTTGCTTACCTGTAAAATGGGGCTAATAACACCACTTTCAATGGGTAGTTGTGATTACAAAATAAAGTCTGACACATTAAAGACACCTTTCCTCCTAATCAAGGAAAGCACCCTCAGCTATTCCGTCTGGGAGGCTGCTGCTATCTCAGACAGAGTTTCCTGATGATGTTCATGTTTTTCTAGAGGCCCATAGTTAAATGACCGCAAGTGTAGGCTCTGACAGTTTGAGGTATGGGCTATATTTTGCAAGTTTAATTCTCTCTTTTTATCACCATCTCACAGCATAAGTACTATGTCTGGTGGGGCAATTATATGTAAAAGAACCTTTCATTCTAGGCTGTACTCTTTGCTGGTATAAGAAAACCAGAGACTTTCTCTACACACCTAAATGACTGGTTGGAAATTAGCAACAAACATTGAGTATTTTACCTACCTTAAGTAAAATAATTCGTTTAATTGATTCTTTACTGAAAAATTGTATTAAAAAATAAAAGAATTAGGTGATTTGATTTCATGTACACCCAGATGTCCAAGTTTGATGTTTGTAATCTCATGAGTTCCCCATGATCCCATGGGAGTAGGATAAAGATTTCAAAGAATTTAGGTGGCTTGAAAGACACTTAACAAGTGGCATATGTCTTTCCATTCTAGCTTTCTTTCCTCCATTTCACCAGACTCTGAAAGGCTTCTATAGCTTGAAGGGAACTTATTTAAGTTCATGGAAACTATAATTAAAATTCTGTCACTACAAAGACATATCTTTTGTTGTCAAACTTTAGTGTGTGTCCTTTATCTTGCAGTAATACTTAGACACATAGGAAAATTAGCTTACAGCTCACTCTAGAAGCCCTGTAGTTAAATTCAGAATTCTCTCCCAGCCTGTGAAACCAACGCTAGTTCTATAAAGCCAAATTTTACTTCACTTCTCAGAGGATGACTTTATTTTGGTTAATCCATAATCATGTGCTAAATATCAGCAGTTACCTATGGACTACTACTACTAAATATATCCAAAAGTCTTCAAATGTATTAATGCATTCATTTGGCAATAACAAACTTTCTCTTAAATGTCTGGATTTAGTTAAAGAATTTAAATCTATTCATATAGTCCCTGGTTTGCTTCTGACCTGTTTTTCTTCTCTGAATGCCATCCTGCAGCTTCCTCCTCTCTACATATATAGTGGATGGTGTTGTAACATTGATCACATCTATCCACCCAGTTGCCATTCAATAAAGAGAACCTTTTTTCTTACTTTTATTGTCAGGCTGAGCATCAGGATATTAACTGTATTTTAACAGGAAATTAGCTGTATTTAGAGTTACCTAGTTTAGTATTGTATAGGATATTGTTGTAAGGGGTTATTTCAGGCTTACAGGTTTTGTTTCTCAACCGGAGGTTGGAGAGTAAGAATGAGTGAATCAGGTGTAAAAATTTTAAAATACACATGGAAGGCATTGCACCAGCCCCTCCTGAGTAGAGCAGAGGGTAGCCTTTTACCTTCAAAAATGTTCCAGGTAATGCTGGTATGTGCCTTTCCCCTACCTACCATAGTTATGAGGACTCACTCATTTCTTTCACCCATAAATCACGAAGGACCCTATAGTGGGCTCGCATATCAGCCTGCAGCTCCTTCTCACCAAGTAGCTGGAGTTGCCCTTGTCCAGCTCGGTGAAGGGAGTAGTATCTGCTGGTCTGGTTGAATCTGAATGTTCCCATGTCCAGATTCTGGAGCTCCCTCTCCCGTGGGTTCCATGCGGTACTAATGCATGAACCCATGTATCCCGTTCCTCACCTCAGAGTCCTCATGAAAGAGTTCTTTATTTCTGTTCAAAGTCTATTTTTATCCATTGACTTCATGGAAAAACTAGCTTCCTTCCAGTTTTCTCTGCAAGCTCCCATGAGCTTCAGGAGCCTGGCGACCAGATGTATTATATTCACCCCCCCTCCTCCCCAGCAGCCACCACAGGGAAGGTACCCAACAAATGCTTTTAGAGTTAATGAATAAGCGAATGATGGCTGACTAACAGTGCCAGCCTCCTCCAGCTCGAGTGTTATGTGTCTGTGTTCTCAACCTGGGGTATCATGGGGATCAGCCTGTCTTCATCCTCTGGCAATGGGGAGGGATTTGAGACTTCTTTTGTGAGAAGACAGGCTTCTTGCTTGTAGTGTCCCTGAGATGGATGTCCATTGAGCAGTCCCATGTCACTTCCCTTGAACTCCGTCAAACACCCTCCATCACTAGGGTATTTCTGGTTTAAACGAGGGTATTTCTGCACCTCACTGATAATACCTATTAAGAACGTGTGCCTATTGGAATATGTTAACCCGCATATCTTCAAGAATCCTCTCGACTAATGATACAGACTAAATCACTTGCTTTTCTCCTCAACATCTGAGTTAAATTAAATTTTCTTTGAACAGAGGGTTAGGGAGTTACAGTTTTCTCCTTTACTGTCTCCTAAATATGCTGCTCAAATTTATGGTCAGCCAGATCCTTTACCTGAAGCAAAATCGAAGGAGATATTGGACAGTAGCGGCATTCCCATATTATCTATTTTTATCCATTGACTTCATGGAAAAACTAGCTTCCTTCCAGTTTTCTCTGCAAGCTCCCATGAGCTTCAGGAGCCTGGCGACCAGATGTATTGTATTCACCCCCTTACCTCCCCAGCAGCCACCACAGGGAAGGTACCCAACAAATGCTTTTAGAGTTAATGAATAAGCGAATGATGGCTGACTAACAGGAATGCCAGCCTCCAGCTCGAGTGTTATGTGTCTGTGTTCTCAACCTGGGGTATCATGGGGATCAGCCTGTCTTCATCCTCTGGCAATGGGGAGGGATTTGAGACTTCTTTTGTGAGAAGACAGGCTTCTTGCTTGCAGTGTCCCTGAGATGGATGTCCATTGAGCAGTCCCATGTCACTTCCCTTGAACTCCGTCAAACACCCTCCATCACTAGGGTCTTTCTGGTTTAAACGAGAGTATTTCTGCACCTCACTGATAATACCTATTAAGAATGTGTGCCTATTGGAATATATTAACCCGCATATCTTCAAGAATCCTCTCAACTAATGATACAGACGAATGGGACTAAATCACTTGTTTTTCTTCTCAACATCCGAGTTAAATTAAATTTTCTCTGAACAGAGGGTTAGGGAGTTACAGTTTTCTCCTTTTCCGTCTCCTAAATATGCTGCTCAAATTTATGGTCAGCCAGATCCTTTACCTGAAGCAAAATCGAAGGAGATATTGGACAGTAGCGGCATTCCCATATTACCAGCAGCGGCATTCCCATATTACCAGCAGTGGCATTCCCATATTACCAGCCAGTTAGTAAAGTGAAAAGCTGTACTATCTCACTGCTTTTGGTTCCTGTCCAAGTCCGTTAAAGCCAGAGAAGCAGCCCTAACAGGCAATACAAGGGAGACAATTACAGATAATTTATTCTGTTCATTTATTCATTTTGTGGAAGGTTTGAGTCCCCAACCTGACTTTTACAGAGGTCATATCTCTTTTTTTACATTGTAAGCAATAATAAAGAAAATGAGCTTTTCACTTCCTACATATGTCTCATGGGTTTTGTTTTATAAAATAACTTTTACTGCATTTTTATTGTAGGCATAATACATGTTTATTGTTTAAAAGTAGCAAATACACATAAGCAATAGGAATAAAATCAACACAGCACATAATCCCATCATACAAAGATAACTATTAACATTTGCTGTGTATCTGCTATCATTTTTTTAATATGCCTTTATGATGTTTTTACAAAAACTATACAGTACTTTTGACACTCATTTTTAAATCAAAAAACATAATCCCAGACATATTCCCATATCATTAAATATTGTCACAAAATCTAATGTTGATGGTTGCAATAGATTCCGTTATGTGGATGTGATTTATGTGCATTGTTTTCCTGTTATTTTTGTTGGTAGATTGAAAAAGTCCTTCAGCAGGGAGAGATTGGAGACTGTGCGGAACCCTACATGGTTATCAAAGAAAGTGATGGTGGAAAGGTATGATATTTTGAATACTGCTAAATGGTAACATCTTAGAATAAGGAAATATTTCCACAGAAGTGTTCCACAATATAGTTAATAGGGTTTAGTCCTTCATATGTTTTCATATGAGATCCTAATAAATTATATATAAACCAAAGAAGGAAGAGAAATTGGTCATTGATGGTAACTTTTTGAAAGAAATAAGCTATTAAACTCAACAAATGATGATATGTACATGAATGTCTAATTCTAAAATGAAACTAGGGCAAAGCCACAGCCTGTTGCCTTGGTTCTGAGGCTCTGACCCAGCTGTGGGGGGAGGGCCACAGACCCCATGGAACCAAGCAGTGCCAAAGCGCCCTGGCTTATCTCCACAGCATGTGCGCCAGCCTTTCAGGCGTGGATGTTTGGAAATTGGCTGAGGTTGCTGCACATCATAAATTCACTAGCACAACCCCGGTACTGAGCCCATGGAGAGGACATCTTTCCTCAGCACCCGGCAAGATTTTTAAAGCGTGGCCTTTCTGGACTAACACTTGCCTAATCAGCATCACTTAAAAATTTCAAATAAGATGTATTGAACGCAAGACATTTATTTTATTTTATTTTTCCCATCGCCATTTATCCCCTCTATGCCCTCTTCCACCTCTACCTACCCCTACCCCCTGCAGTCATCACATTGTTGTCCATGTCCATGTCTCTCTCTTTTTTTCTCTTTTTTAAAAAATCTTTCCACTTCAAGACATTTTTTAAAAAATCTACCTTTTATTCTGAATTTAGAAAGAACTCCTTGGAAGTATTGTCAACCTAATAAGGAAATTATTAAGAACCTTTATAGATCTTTCTGGAGTTTTCTAAGGCAACTTTTGAAGAAACAGGCTCTCTTGAGAGCTTGGTAGATGATATATAAAACTTTTTATCCCAAGATGCTCTCATGTGAATTCAAGTCAAGTTACTAGCCCCTAAAACTGACACTTGTGGATTAGCTTGTATAGGAAGCCTTGGGCCTTTTTTTTTTTTAAACTAGTGTATCTAATAGTTGAATGTAGCCTTTTTGTAAACTTCTCCTTTTCTAATCTGTATTTCCCTAGACTTCTGGCCTTCGTTGAGTGTGTCCCTTTGCTGCCTACTCACTCGTTTTCATCAGTAGGGTAGGGTTTTGGAGATGCCTGTCCTATCCATGGCAGGGCAGCTGACTGGGTGCTGGTGCCCTATTGTTTGTCCCTGCTTGTCTCTTTCCATTTTCCTCTAGAGTAAAGACAAGATTGAAAAACTGAAACTTCAAGCTGAATCTTTCTGCCAGCGTTTGGGGAAATACCGGATGCCCTTTGCCTGGGCTCCTATAAGCTTAGCAAGCTTCTTCAACGTCTCCACCCTGGAGAGGGAGGTAGCCGATGCAGAGTCCGTGGTTGGTAAGATTTTCAGCTGCCGTGGGAAGAGGTGGGCTCCCCAATGCACCAACTCTGAGGTCAACTGCTTATTAGTGGGGACTTGGGGTACAGTAAGGTGTGGGAAATGGGAAAGAAGAAGGAGATTAATAGGTTGAAACACTATTATGGCTTGATTACAAATGCATGATTGTAATAGAGAACGATTCCCCAAAATTATCATGAATGTTTGTGGAATTTAAATATACTCTTATAGTAAGATTTTTTGTTAGAATTTTTCTGGACAGTTTGACACATTAAAAACTTAATTTTAAGAAGCTACTTCCTCTTAAAATTATTGAAAATAACAAAGAAAATATAATAACTATCTATAGTGTGTTAAAATAAAGGCACCATGATTGGTTCCAAAACACAAGGGGTAAAGTCATGGAGGTTTTGAAAAGCAAAACTCAGGTTTCTCAGCAAAGTTTCCAGCCCCTGAAAGTTTCTTTTGCCAACAGCAATGAAAAAGTGGATGCCAATAGAATATCTAGTTACTGTTCAATTTATTTAGCATGTTTCTTTTTCATCGCCTCACCCCCCTTGGTCTGAATCATTATTTTTTAAAACAGGTTGGATATGAAACTGTTCAAGAGGCTATAGAATTTTCAAGTAGACCCACCCCTACTTGTGGCAGAGTTTCTGTTTTCCTAAATGTCTTTGGATCCAGCAAATGTTTAAGTCTAGAGTCACATTTCTCGTGACTTTTCTCTTGCATTCCTTAGCTCTGCCACTTCTGAAATGTTGCCTTTAGCAGAGGAGTGGAGGATAGGGTACTTTGTTATTACTGCTGCTATTCTGGAGTTATGTTTGCATAATTTCTGGTCAGAATTCCTGGATTATTTCTGATTTATCAATAACAAACCTCACTTTAGTGCATCTTGATCTTCACACCACAATGTTTTGGTTTTGGTTTTTGTTAATCCTCACCTGAGGATATTTTTTTTCATTGATTTTTAGAGAGAGTGGGAGGGAAGGAGGGAGGGAGAATCATCGATGTGAGAGAGACATATTTATTGGTTGCCTCCCACATGCTAAGCCAGGGATCAAACCTGCAACCCAGGTACATGCCTTTTGACTGGGAATCGAATCCGAGACCCTTAGGTATTCAGGCTGACCCTCTAACCACTTAGCAACACTGGGGAGGCCACAATGCTTTTTTTAATGCCAACCTCTATGTAGACCTAGGCAGCCTTATTTGAAAGAGTTATGCATAGAACCTAGAGGACACCCTAAATGAGGTGAACCCATAAATTCGGGCATAGGGCTTGCTGAGGCTTTCATAGTCTCTAGGTCAAGGATAAATTAACCTGACCACAGAGGCTGATTCTTGAGAAGCAACCAGAAGAGGCAATGTGGCAAGTGTAGATGGGCAATGGTAGCAGGAAGTTCCAATTCAGCATCACGTCAAGAATTAAGGGTAAGGGAATCTTCAAAGACAGGGTTGGCCATTTTAGAGTTCTAAGCAATTTGACTATTCACGACAGAACCCCTGAGTTTTGCAGCAGAAAAGCAATAAAATTCTCACCTAAATGTCAAACGGGGATAAGAAACAACAAAGCAGAGTATTAGGGTCCCAGCCCAGGGCAGGGTGTGACTGGGTTCTAATCCCCATTAGGCAGGTCAGCAGAGAGCAGAAGAAAAATGGGATTCAGAATATACTCAGGCTGACCCTAGCATATTTGGGTCACATTCCCAAATGCCTTCAAGGGCATTTGAGTACATGCCTCTCCCAATGGAATGAAAATGTAAAAATAAAACAAAAACAAACACTGTTGACTAAATAAAGCTTATCTGCAGACCCCGTTCTGGCTGCAGTTCTGGACTCTGCAGGGTGGCATCTGGCCTACCCTCCACGTGGGAGGGCAGCTGCTCACGGCCTCTCAGCTCTGGTCAGAGGAGGATTAGGGGCTCCAAGAGGGGGGGTTAAGAAAGGTAGGGGTCAGTGGAGGGACATTTTTATTCAAGACTAGAATGGCCACATTCAGTGTTCTTGTTCAGTGACTTTCCACATAGCTTATATACGGTAAAGTTAATAACTGCTGTGTCTTCAAACAGAAAGGCAAGCTTTAGAATGACAATTGTTTTCCATAAAGGAAGAAGCTCTGTGGGTGAGCGGAGAACCTTATCCCAATCTAGAAGGCTTTCAGAAAGAGCCCTCTCCTTGGAGGAAAATGGGGTCGGATCCAACTTCAAGACCACCAGCATGACCATTAACAGCTTCTTCAAGCAGGTATCTCTCCATGTTAGTGTGCTTGGGCTTGTCTCATAAGGTTATGGGTTCTGGAGCCCGAAGTGGTAGTATATGTAATGAATAAGAGAACAAGTTAGTTAACCTCACCAAGCCTAAATCTCATTATCCACAGAACAAGGATGATGGGGCTTGCTTCATGTGGCTTTTGGGGAAATTAGATGACATGAGGCAGGTAAAACTCTGCTCAGAGTGCCTGGGATAGAGCAAGTGCTCATTGAGTGTTAGCTCTTTCCGTTGAGGGCTAACTGTCCTAATACAAACTGTCAAATGGTCAGTTCATTAGCAGGCTATAAGAGCTGTCTGCCTGAAGCATTGTCCCCCCCTTGGTCTCGGGGTTTCCTGGCCGGGCTGTTGTCCTTCTCACCACTATTCCATGTGCACACTGCAGGGCTGCCCTACTTGCTCAGAGAAGGTGACCATTGCACATGGCGCTCTGCGTTGGCTCAGTAAACATTTCTTTAAAAAACAAAGAATTTCCTAGAGTAGAATGATGGTTGCCAGGGGCTGGAGGGAGGGGTGAAGAGAGTTGTTGTTTAAAGGGCACAGAGTTTCAGTTTTGCAATATGAAAGAGCCCCGGAGATCAGTTGCACAACAATGTAAATGTACTTAACACTAGGGAACTGAACACTCAGAATGGCTAAAATGGCAAATGTTATATTACGTGTATTTTTACCACACAAAGAAAACCTTAGGCTTGGTTTGACTTTGTTTTAGAAAATTTCCATAGCTCAATCTTCATGGGGCATTTCAAGGTGTTATGTTAATAATCTGAAATGCAGAAGGGATATTGAAGGGTCTGTGCACTGTACCCATAATAGCATGGGGCTGAAGGGGTTTCTATTCCAGATGTACTTCCAATTGTATTAACTTGGGGGGCAAAGTACTTAACTAAGTCTGAGTTTTCTCATCTGTACTTGGGAATAAGTTACACCAACCTACCTACCTTACCAGGCTACCTTACCTTGCAAGGATTAGAGCTCTTGCCTGTGACTCCCTTGGGAAAGTACGTGTCCCATGTAGGCACATAGAGAACCGTATTGATGCTTAGCCTGCTTAGTCAAGACAAATATGAAAAAAGTGAGGACAGGGAAAAAATGTCGCCATCTTCAAATCTTTGAAGAAGGAAGTAAACTTACGCTTAGTCAAGACAAATATGAAAAAAGTGAGGACAGGGGAAAAATGGAAAAATGCTGTCGCCATCTTCAAATCTTTGAAGAAGGAAGTACACTTATTCTGTATTATTCCAGGAGTAAAACAAGCATCAGTGGCCTTAAGTTATAGGGTGGAGATGCTATTGGCCTAGATTTCTAATGGTCAAATAGACTTCCTTAGAATGCATAGAAGCCCCATCCCCAGAAGGGTTGACGAGAGGCTCAGTGACAATAAGTCCAAGAGTAGTAGAGAAGAAATATTTGATAAGGGGCTGAACTAAATGATTCCTTAGAATGCATAGAAGCCCCATCCCCAGAAGGGTTAATGAGAGGCTGAGTGACAATAAGTCCAGGAATAGTAGAGAAGAAATACTAGTATTTGATAAGGGGCTGAACTAAATGACTTCACCATTGCCTATAATCTTAATTTCTAAGAATTAAATAAAATTTAAAGATAAAAATCTTCCCATAAATCATCGGTCCCTACCCCAGGAGTCAATGGTGCATCTGTACTAACCCTCACTTCTCTCTTGGCAGGAGGGAGATCGACTCAGTGATGAAGACTTATTCAAGTTTTTAGCGGACTACAAAAGATCTTCTTCCTTACAGAGAAGAGTCAAGTCCATTCCAGGTGTGGATGGCTTGTCTTTATCCTCTTAAGCTGTGCCAAAGCCATTTGTGATTAGACACATTATTTGTCTACTGCTGCAATTTATAAAATTATGTGTACCAAATGAGATGTGGGATTTTACACCAGGAGTTGAGTCTGAATTGGTCTACTTTTTTGGAAACTCTATTAATATTTTCTATTCTATTAAATCATTGATTCTTTAAATAAACATACTTTTATATCTGGTTTCTTAGACAATCAGATCATTGTTCGAATAAAAGAGTCTTTTTCATCTTCTACAATAGTATATGGAACTTTTAGTATACAAAGAAAAATGAAAGTAAGATGCTTTGATAGAAGGCGAGAACATCTTCCTTATCCTCAGCTTAATCGCTTCTGAGGCACTTCTGCAGCACCCTAAAGTACCAGAGATCCCAGTTCGAGAACCACCAGTGTTTACTTAAATATATACTATTATAGTGTGGTAGTTCTGGAAGGGACTTTAAAAATCCTCCAATCTATTTCTACTCATTCTACAATTTCTTGCTTTTTAATTTCTAGAAATAGAATCTCAAGAGTTGTCATGACATGCTTTTTCTCCAGCTACAGGAAATTAGCTGGGAATTTCAGAACTCTCACACTCCCACAACTTCTCCTTATTTTCATAAAAGAAATATGCTTCAACAATTTTTCTCGATTCCTCTTAACATGACAGTATCTTTCTTAAAACACTCGTTTTCTTTCTTTAGGCTTGCTCAGACTGGAGATTTCTCTGGCTCCAGAGATAATCAATTGTTGTCTGACTCCTGAACTACTGCCAGTGAAACCCTTTTCTGAAAACCGGACACGTCCACACAAAGAGATTTTGGAATTTCCAATCCGGGAAGTGTATGTCCCTCATACTGTGTACAGGTGAGAAACAAAGGCTCTTGGTAAACCATTGAGCCCACATTTACAGTTTTGTTTGAACAATGCCTTCGTCGTCCTTTGATCTACCTTCCTAGTTACTAAGTTTTGGAAAAAATGAAATATGTTTACAAAACTATAGATAATTGCTAGATCATGTTCTAAAAATTATTATCTAATTTTTTCAGTCATAATTGTAGTGGGCGTATTCTTTCCAGAAATGAAAAATTCCTCACCATCATTACCTTGGTTTTCCTATGTGCAGAAGAATGTAGTAGGGAAAGAGCAATGTGACCAAAAAATGTTCTCAGTGTTTACTAGACAAGTTTTTACCTTGAAACCAGCTCTGTCCCATGGAATTCACAGCAGTGACAGAAATGTTCTACATGTGTGCTGCCCAATACAATCGCTACTAACCACATGTGGCTGTTCAGCATTTGAAATGTGGCTAGGGCAATGGACGAACTGAAATTTTCATTTTATTTAACTTTAATTAATTTGAATTTAAATTTGTAGCTGTAAGTGGTTGGTGGCCACCATATTGAACAGCATGGAGCTAGACAGTAAGGGCCTAAAGGTTAGGCTGCCTCGGTTTCTTGGAGGCTTGACTCGGGACTGGGCTGGAACTTGTCAACACACACCTGCCAAAGCCATTGCTCTCACATTTTTAGTTTTTATTTTGAGAAGATGTTTTTAATGCAGAGAAGAATGCAGTAACAAGCACCTTTTCTCCACCATCTGGAAATGACATTGTGAGTGTGTGCGTGTGCGTGTGTGTGTGTGTGTGTGTGTGTGTGAAATAATACCGATTAAACTTTTCTCCACCATCTGGAAATGACATTGTGAGTGTGTGTGTGTGTGTGTATGTGTGTGTGTGTGTGTGTGTGTGTGTGTGTGAAATCATACTGATTAGGTTGAAGTCTCCTCTAGTCACAGACTTCTACCTTGCTGCCCAAGCATCAATGATGAACTTATGTGTGTCTTTTCTTCCATTCTCTCCTGTTTCACACACATGTGTATGTTTGTGCGTGTGTACATACATATATATCCGACGCTCTATCCACCGAGCCAAACTGGTTAGGGCTTTACATTCATTTTAAATGTCCATAAGTGGCTGCACACTCTATGTATTATACTGTACTTTTCATCCAACAGTATAATTTTTTCTTTTTTGTTTAACTATTACTGTGGACTCGTGTATGTATCTGTGAACAACAAGTAGTATTATTTTTACGTTCATTTTAAATGTCCATAGTGGCTGCACACTCTATGTATTATACTGTACTTTTCTTCCAACTGTATGATTTTTTTCTTTTTTGTTTAACTATTACTGTGGACTCATGAATTTTATTGATTCAGTGTGTTACACTCAAAGGATATTTTAATTAATTAGACTTTCACAAATTTAATGAATGAGAATTACTTGACAGCTTGTATTTTAGAAATATTAATATTGATTGACATAGCACTTTGTCATCATTTTTAACTGCTGTATAGTATTCCTTTGTATAATGAGGGATTATTTTTCCATTTCTTTTTTTTAAATTAATAGACATTTATGGTTTTTTTTCAATTTGGGGTTCTTACACTGTGCAATGAGAAGTTTGTCTGGGTCTCTCTGTGCACATGTGTGAATGTTTTCCTAAGGAATATGCCTAAAAGTGAAATCACTGGGTCACAAGTGATATACATTTTAAGTTTTATCTATACTGCCATTTTCCCCCCCAAAATTGTACCAGTTTGCAATCCTTTCCATAGAGTAAGAGAATTCTGATTCCCCCAGACCCTCACCTATACTGTCCAATATGACATGTGTATATGGGACTGAATGCCAAGAACTTCAGAACTCACCTAACCCAAACACACCCACCCCACATTTCCAGATGTACAAAAGTGAGACCCAGACAGGATAAATGAGCCGTTCACTGAAGTCAAAAACTACAGTGAAAAAAATCAAGCAACCATCCACACAATTAGAAATGGACCTCTTCCTTTTAATGTTGGTGTGGTACACACGTCTTTCCCCATTTAATCCTTTCTGAAGCAGCTCTTCGTTTTCTAACTTAATTCCTTCCATATAAACTCAACCCAAGTCCCCCTCCTAGATAAATAAGCATTCCTAAGATGAAGTAGTTTCAGTTCTCCATTCTGTTTAGGGAAATGAAGGCATGAAAATGTTTGCTTATGGATGCCGTGTTTGTATCTTTAGAAACCCTATCCTATAATTGGAAAAAAATGATTGTGGAATTGAAATAAACTTGCACCAAATGAATTCTATAGTTATTCAACTTCCCCTCAGCATTTAATTACCCATGGGAAGCACTTACAACTCTCTGTACTCCTTGCTGCAAACATTACCCTTAATTACATCACAGCGGGACTCAGAATGCATTAGTGTGCTGATGACTCAGAAATGTAGGCGTGCGAAGGAGAACAAGTCTGGAGGACTACTATGGACCCAACTTGGCTTCATGAGAAACGGACCCTGAGTGCAAAGTGAATATTCTTTAAGCTGTTCTATACACTATGGAAATGCAAGGCCACGCCATTAAAACCAGGTCGCTACCCTTGGGAATGATAGAAGAAAACACTTCCCTCCATTTTGCTCATAGTGCCTTTTCTTGGCTCCCAGCCCACCACTGTTTATACCTTGTTTAAGAAACAAGAGATGTAATAAACTTGTTTAAGAATTTTACTACGTGAAAACATCAAGGAATTTAGAGATCATCTTGTCTGATCTCCCGAGCTGCTGTTAAATTGTTAATAGTTCTTCTCCAGTCCTCACAAGCTTTATAGTGGTTTTGTTTAGTTTGGTCTTGACAGTAACCAGTCCTGGACTAATTCCCCCCTTTCCTACACTTCCACTGCCATTTCACAAAATGGAATGGAAGACTCAAGTCAGGACTGAACGCCAGGTCAAATTGGTGGGGTGACTGATTTTACCGTTGGTGACCTAATTTTCTCATTTCTGTCATTTATCCCTTCTTTTTGTTTCTTGTCATCTCCCTGTACCTCAAAAAACGTAGAACCTCATATCTTTTCTACCCCCTCCCTGCCTGAAAATCAAAGTCTGTATTCAAGCAAAGGTCTCCTAATTTATGGACATTATGGTATCAGTAAGAAGTATGGCCTAATGTCTTATCTCTCCCAAGAGTATTATTTCAGTAGAGACAACAGTTCCTATTTCAGTTAAAAATGTTTTCCCTCGACTTAGTTGAATCCTGGATATCTTTCTAAGAATTTGCTAAGTAGGGTAACTTTCCATGTTGACATTGCTATTTCCATGACTAATCCTGGTTACAGCTATGTCCCTTTAAGAAAATGAAACAAAAATTAAGATTTACAGAGCAGATAAATTCAGGGATAATTCTTTATAGAGGATTCTCCTAATGAATATAAAATATGATCTGACATGAAAATTTTGATCTATCCAGAACTTATGAAGAATATGTGTGTTAGTGCCCTAGCCAGATTTGGCTCAGTGGATAGGTTCAATTCCTCTCAGGGCACATGCCCAGATTGCAGGCTTGATCCCCAGTAGGGGGCGTGCAGTAGGCAGCCCATCAATGATTCTTTCTCATCATTATGTTTCTATCTCTCTCTCCCTTCCTCTCTGAAATCAATAAAAATATTTTTAATATATATTTATTTTAAAAAAGAATATATCTATTGGGCGAAGGATTCAAATTTCAAATTTGTGTCCTTTTAACATAAATGGCAGAGCTCCCTTGGGTGGAGGGAACTATTACAGGCTCTAATGGCGGATGTTGTCTGGCCTTGAGTGTGAGTGGTGGCCAGAGTCACACATTACAGGATTCTAATATGGGTGAAGTTTCCATTGAACACCAATTGAGTAGAACTCTGGTTACTCGTATCTCTCTTAAAGGAGCAGCTGCCATGGAACTTCACATAAAACTGGCTTAGGCCTAACCGATTTGGCTCAGTGGATAGAGCGTCGGCCTGCGGACTGAAGGGTCCCAGGTTCGATTCCGGTCAGGGGCATGTACTTGGTTGTGGGCACATCCCCAGTAGGGGGTGTGCAGGAGGCAGCTGATCGATGTTTCTCTCTCATCGACGTTTCTATAACTCTCTGTCCCTCTCCCTTCCTCTCTGTAAAAAATCAATAAAAAATATATTAAAAAAACAACAACAAAACTGGCTTAGGATAGCCTGAAGTTGCCTTCCGGCCCTCAGTCTCCCCATTCTCCTATCTCTTCAAGTGCCTCCTCTGATTGCCCTCCCTCTTCTGATGCACTAAGTCAGGGTCACTGTGTTGTACCACAACGGGCACCATTCATATTGTATTCTCTGTGGATGCTGACCCTGGTGCCTCCACCTTATTCTTATTGCTTAAAGGAGCAGTCATAGGAGGACTATGTTGGACTCGGAAACATCTCATGAGCCCGCCAGGGTTGGTCACTGATAAAATGAACACCTTCTCTAAGGAAAGAGGTGAACTTCTAGAGCCAGAGTGCTGATCCCAGGAATAGCCAGCGTCTCCTAGACCAGTGCCGGGTGCCACCTCTATGGTTTAGAGGCATGGAGCCCAACAAGTGTTCCCTGAAACAGACCCAGGCAAGATCTTTTGCAAAATCACAGAGGACAGCCATTCTGAAAGTGGAGAACAGCTGGAAAAATTAGCTTGATAAATAGGATTACCCACATCTGAATTTAGCATTCCTTTCTTCATGCCCAGATTAAGAAAACACTACTTCTTAGCCCAGAAACACATTTGGACCAACTCCTGGCTTACTTTCCATGTGGCCCAGCAGCTGGTAATAGAGACGCCAGCTGCCTTCTGGTGGGGGCAGAATGAAAACAGCACGAGCTGGGGCCAAGGCCTAGTGCGACCTTGAAGGGCATTTTATCCTGTGGCCATGGGGGCATGTACAGAGATCACAGGCGCTGAAGTTGTAATGAGCTTGTTAAGCTCCTTGCCATCCCTTTAACTGGTGATTACATTAGGGAAGTCACATAAAGTGCGTTTTCATTTCTCATCCCGGCCC